CTGGCTGAGCTTGAGTCCAAACAGTTCCAAAGCAGTCAGGTGCTGATGCTTCTTATTGGTCAGCATGACACACCTGCAGGCCTGGGAAATGTTCCTGCAAACTAAAGCTGCAACTAAAATCTCGATTTTAGGAGGTTGAGGAGGCTGAGGAGTTCTGTGCCCAGGCAGCTCGTGCCACCAGGGATCTTGCCAGAGCAGAAGCAGAAATAGAATTGCTACAACAACTCCTCAAAGAGAAGGAAGAGCAAGTAGGTCACAGTGGTGTTTGCTCTATGCTGTGTGACAAAATAGTTATCAGTGAGTTTCTAAATTAGAGGTTCTTGCCTCACACTTTTTCCTCAAGTTTTCCCAAGGCACAATGTTCTTCCCTCCCCAACATCTGCCAAAGAACAAAGTGAAATCCTCACTACTAGAGTAACTGATTCTTAAAAAAACCATCACCTGTTCACTAAACACCTCTGTGTGGCTGTGGCTGAGCTTTGGTCGTACAAGGGGATGGGAAGAACAGTTCTGTTGTGAGTAGTAGATGCATTTTGCTGAAGAAGCATTTCTGTAGGGATGGGTGGGTGTGTTCAAAGAATTTTAATACAGTCTGATTTAAACTGAAATGCTTTGCTTTAAACTTCTGTTTCAAACAGCTTCAGCACGAAGTTGAGAGGGCTGGTGAGAAGACTATGGCCTCAAGGGCTCAGAAGTTTGAGATTGATAAATTGAACCAAGTTATGGAGCAACAGAAAGCAGAAATTGATCGATTAAGATGGTTGTTGGATAATATTGGGACAGGTAATCTCTTTTTTCTCTCCACTTCTTGCAGACCCGTAGGGATACAGAAAACTACTGGCTCCTATTTCTGGCTGGTTGAGCTGAGAACATGTTCAGAGCTCTGGAGAATGAAGTGTTGAGAATACCTCATATGTATTGGTTTTCATCAGTTTGTATTAACAGCACTTTTGACAGCTAGTTAGAAAGCACAGATGGTGCTGTGCACTGTGCACTGCTCTAGAACATTGCTCTGTGCAAGGGAAATGAGCTGCACTTACCTGTATATCAACCTGTGTTTCTACAGCCTTCAAATGCCAAAGCTCCCAGGGCCAGTTTACATCTGTCTCTGTGTGTAACAAAAGCTGAACATAGTATTTAATTCTTTGCCTTATGTTCCTATAAACTTGTGATGAATTTACAGGTAACAAAGATGAAATCAACAACTTACAAGATGAAATTGCAGCCCTCAAAAAACTGCTCTCCCACCAGAACGATTATATCACCAGCATAGCAGATCCATGGAAGAGAAGAGGGTACTGGTATTACATGCCATCATCACAGGTCAGATGGAAACCCTGCTGTGGGAAAGCCAGTTGATGTGGGAAGTGCATTATGCACTTAGGTTTGGGAGAAACTGAGGAACAGATACTGTTGGGCATGGAGGAGAAATACTGAGCGCACAGTTGAGAAAACTCTGCAAAGTGCAGTACTGTCAATTCATTTAGGTAAAGGTTAAAGGGGATGGTACAGGCAAACACCTTGTAAGAGAGAATTTGTCTGACTAAAGAAATATTACTAAAATACTTTGTGCTGTCTTTGAAAGCAGCATCATGCTTGGAACTGAAACAGCAGAGTACGCACAGCCTGTTCTGCACAGTCAGAGCTTAGAATGTCTACAAAGAATTTACTTCACGTGGTTTGTTATTTCCAGATTAACACCTACTGTATTTCTTTTTCTTCAGGCTTCAACTCCTGCTTCCCACAGCACAAAGGACTCTGGAGTGTGTTTAGGGTGCTCTGGCACATCCCCAGGCAGGAGAGAGCGTGCTCAGGACAGGCTGCGTGGGAGGGAGGACATGCCCAGCCAAGGAGGACGTTGGGTTTATTCACCAGTCAGAAATAGGTTGTCCGAAACAAGTTCTGGTAAAGGTAAGTCAGTCACAGTCTCAGAATTCTGTTTAGGAGCACACTAGGGATGGACTTGCTTGGAGTTCAGAGTGAATTCCTGTGGTGTACATGAGTGAGCAGAAATGCTCTTTACTGTTGAACTCATTAGTTGGTTTAAGCAGTGTTTATGTTTCTGTACATGACACAAAATTTTAAAATGTGCACTTTGAGAATATATTTACTGAAAAAATGATGAAAAATAACTTTTTTGATTTCCTTTAAAGACAGAAGAGCACAAGCAGATGGTGAAGGCCATGCAGGAACTCCTGTCCCTGAAGCCTCTCCCTTTGTCCCTCCGCCCGGCACAGTCATTTACACAGCCCTCCCAGATGGTGCCCCTGCACCCCAGGGCACAGGGGTCTATGCCCCTCCTCCTGCTGCAGCCACTGGAGCTTCAGTTGCCCCTGGAACCATTATCCATGGGCCACCTCCTGCAGGAGCTCAGGTTGTTTATGGCCCTCTCCCTCCAACTTTCACAGTCCCACTCATTCCTGTTGGAGTGCTCCACTGCAACGTGCCTGAGCATCATGATTTGGTAAGGACCAGGGCTGTAGCTGCAGGTTTAACCATTGGCAGCTGACAGAGGGATGAGAAAAATGTCCCTGCTAGGAAAGCTCTGGGTCTGGGAGAGCTTCCTGATGAGAATGCTCTGCACCCTCAGTGCAGAAAGTCTTTGCTGCTCCTGTTCTCAGGGCTGAAATAGACTACAGATGTTGTTGTGTTTTCTGTGTGCAGGAGGGAGAAGTCTCTAGGCTAGAAGACACTGTCTGTTATTTAAAGTCTCGGAAATACAAAGAGAAATGCTCAGAGGCAGCTGAGCATAAGTACAAAAAAGAGGTGGATAAATTGCATCAAAACATTGAAGAGCTTGTGCACGAGAGAGCTGAGTTGGAATGTGAAGTGGCAGAGCTGAGAAGAGCAGCTCAGAAACACAGCAAGCACAGGTGGGGACAGTTCATGGAATGCATCTAGAGTAACCACGTGGGAATGCCTACACTTGTCTCCAGTAAATGTCAGTTTTTTGACTCATTTCCAGCTCCAGAACTGGCAGAGACTCCAGCCCTCTGGCATTTTTGTGTTTTAATTCCCTGTGTTTCATCCTGACCTTGCAGGGACTTTATTGAAGGGTACACTGACCACCTCGTGGCAGAGCTGCAGCTGGAGAAGTCCCTTAGGCATCAGGAGGACATTGCAGAGGAGATTGGGTGTGTGGAGAAGACCCTGCTGAGGCGCCGAGCAGAGCTCAGGGAGGCAGACAGACTCCTCACTGAGGCTCAGGTGGAACTGGAGAGCACCCGAGGGAAGGTGAGCAGAGCCACAGCTTCGAGGGCAGAAGGATTGGAGTGTTGCATTGATTGTTCTAAGCAGTTGAGTTTTGTTTGTCTAAGCAGTTTTCTTTTCACTTGGATAACCTGAAGCCTCTTAAAATGCTTCTATGTGAAAATAAGTCATGGCATAACCCTGTGCTAAAATAATTGGTTTAGTCTTTGCAAAGGAGGAGGAAGTTTTCTGTCTGGACAAGAGAGGAGAAAAGGTTCTGCTTTGTGGTATAGAGAGGAAGAGGTGGAATATTCAAGCCAGGAGGAGGTCACCTCCAGGCAGCTAACTGCGGGTGGTGGATGTGGAAAGCATGAGATGTATTGTCTCAATAATCTTCACTTTTTCCCCTAGACCAAAGACACCATTCAGAAGTACAACAGTGCCAGGCAGCACTTGTCCCACACTGAGACAGAGGCAAAAGAGCTGGAGCAGAGGGCTCAGGACATGGCCACTAAACTTGGGAAAGCAGCTCAGCAGCTCAGGTACCCTCACTGGTGGGTTTGTGCCACATGGGGCTCAGGCTGTGCTGTTGGGGAGGGAGAGCTGGTGAAATGGTAGTATGAAAAGGCATAAATGTTTCTTTAGGCTGTTACAGAAAGACACAAGGGATTTGGAGCAGCATAAAAGGGAACAAGAAGGTGTTCTGAAGGAAATCAACAAAACCATGGCTGCAAGAGACTCTGAGTTCCAGCTGTTAAACCAGAAGATAGAAATGCTAACTGAACGGTAAGTGCTTTTAATTTACAGTATACTATTAGCTTAAACAAAGAGCTCCTCCTGCTATAAGGTAAGATATTCTCACTTCTTCTGGCTTATGTTGTTATCCTCACTCTCAGTCTGCAGAAGCTGCAGGGAGATATTCGAGTTGCAGAAGGTAATGAGGAACATCACCTGCAGATCATCAGAGAAGCAGAAAGCCTTGTTCAAGACAAGAAAGCTGAACTGGAAACACTGAAAAATCAGGTAAGGTTTGGCTTATTAACCCTGGACTGTCAGTGTGCTTGGTGTTGATAGCACTGGAGGCTCAGAAGAGTCTTAAGTTCTGAACTGCTTTGTCTGTAGAATTTAATTCTAAAATTTCTTCTACTGTTGGCAATTTGAGTTGTCCTTGTTGTGTCTCATAGTAATTGAGGCTCTCACTGGTGTTTCTGCAGGAAACACTGCACTGGGTCTTGTGCATGTGTGTAGCTACCAAAGCAAAAACTTTCAGATACTTCTTGTCTTAAACTTGTCTACTGTAGATTAGTGCTCAGCAGCAAGAGCTCTTGTTCCTGGAGCAACAGGTGAATCAAAGGACTGAAGAGCTCCACCACCTTCAGGGCTGTATTTCTCAAAAGAAAGATGACCTCAAAGAAGTTCTTCGAGATGGAGAGACTGAGGCACATGAAAAACTCCGACAAATCAGAGTGAGTTTTCCAAATGAGTTTTTAATTCATTACAGCAAAAGAACTGAAGTATCAAAAACACTCCATAAAATTTCAACAAAACCAAGTTTTGCTTTCTCCCACCTCTCCAACCCCCTGAAAAGCAGAACAAGCACGTTTATGGTTCTGTCTGACTGCAGGCTTGGTGCAAATGCACAAATAGGAGCTCCCTAGTTCAGTAATTCTGTCAGAATTGGTCCCTTGAGAAGTAAATGGCATTAAATCTGAGTCTCTGAATGACTTCCTGTGGCTGAGACCAGCAGCTGCTGGGGCTGAGCAGCAGAGCTGCCATGCAGCTGTCTGTCTCCATCCTGTCTACTCAGAAAGATTCTGGACTTCCTTTCTGAAATAAGAACAAAGCATCAAGGTTGATTGTATCTGTGTTTGGTTTTTCTGTGGGGGTTTCCTGCCTGGCTGTGTTCTGAGGCTGTCAGTCACTGC